CCAGATCTAGCTATATATGCTCCATCATACATGTATGCATATACGTTATGTTTTTAAAATGAGGTGTACCAAAAGTAGCTGAAAAAAGTTATAACCTAAATAGTTGATGGTCATGGACCCATTAAGAAAGTTGCAATTTTAATCATTCCTTTGATTATGAACTTCCTGTGTTCCTTCTCCAACAATCACATTAAAACTGAACTATATTAAATATCATTTAATTATGCCAGCCAGGGACGGTGGCAATCCCAGCACTTTGGGAGGCCGAGGCGGGAGTATCACTCGAGGCCAGGAGTTCAAGACCAGCCTGGCCAACATGGCGAACCACTCTATCTACTAAAAATGCAAAAATTAGCTGGACCTGGTGGTACATGCCTGTAATCCCAGCTACTCAGGAGGCTGAGGCACAAGAATCTTCTGAACCCGTGAGGCAGAGGTTGCAGAGAGCCAAGATCGCACCACTGCACTCTGGCCTGGGCAACAGAGTGAGACTCTGTCTCCAAAAATAAAAATTAAAAAAAATTAATTATGCCTCTATAGAGATTTTTCCTAATGTTCTGACATTTGCTTTCTTAAATCAGAAGTAGTCTACAGCCAGACCACCCTGAGGCACCCAATCTTGTCTGATCTCGGAAGCTAAACAGGGTCGGGCCTGGTTAGAACTTGGATGGTAGAAGCAAAGCACAGGACATATCATCCTCCTAAGAAATGTCAGGATCTTTAACATCTTGTGGGGAAAAGAGAGATCAGACTGTTACTGTGTATATATAGAAAGAAGTAGACATAAGAGACTCCATTTTGTTCTATATTTGAGATGCTGTTAATCTGTGAACCTACCCCCAACCTTGTCCTTGCAAGAGACTGTGCTGTGGGGACTCAAGGTTTAAAGGATTTGGGGCTGTGCAGGGTGTGCTTTGTTAAACAAGTGCCTGAAGGCAGTATGCTTGTGAAAAGTCATCACCATTCTCTTAATCTCAAGTACCCACGGACACATACACTGCAGGTTGCAGGGACCTCTGCCTAGGAAAGCTAGGTATTGTCCAAGGTTTCTCCCCATGTGATAGTCTGAAATACGGGCCTCGTGGGAAGGGAAAGACCTGATCGTCCTCCAGTCTGTCACCCACGAAGGGTATGTACTAAGGAGGAAAGAAGAGGAAAGAAGTATAAGAGGAAAGAAGGCCTCTTGGCAGTTAAGATAAACAAAAGCATCTGTCTCCTGCCCGTCCCTGGGCAATGGAACACCCTGGGCAATGGAACATCTCGGTGTAAAACCCTATTGTATGTTCTGTTTATTGAGAAAGGAGAAAACCGCCTTAGGGCTGAAGGTGGGACATGCTAGCAGCAATGCTGCTCTTTATGCACTAAAAAGGTTTATGGAGACGTCTGCGTATGCATATCAAGGCACAGCACTTTTCCTTAAACTTATTCATGTCACAGAGATCTTTATTCATATGTCTTACTGCTGGCGTGGGTCCTCAGTATGGTGAGCAGGGTCCCCTGGGCCCACTTTTTCTTTCTCTATACTTTGTCTCTGTGTCTCATTTCTTTTCTTAAGTCTCTCGTTCCACCTAAGGAGAAAGGCCCACAGGTGTGGAGGGGCAGGCCACCCCTTCAAACATCTTGTGAGGTTTCTAAAACTTAATGATGTAAGAAAACTAAGAAAGAGATTAGCTATCAATCTTTTATAGGAACTAGGCCTTAAAGGGGAAATATCCTGAGATTCACAGATATTTATAAAAATTATTTTAAAAGTTAAAACATAAATATAATGAAATCAATAGGCTTCGATTCTTCAACATAAAAACAAGCCACTCTCTACTTCTTTAGTTGCATAACGCTTCCACCTTTTAAAAAATATTTCAAGAACTCTTATCTCATTTGATTTACAAAGCTGTCTAAGTAGACAGGTATGTGGGTCTAGCCATTTTATAAACAATAATCAGATACTGTTAAGATTTACATGTGGCAAAAGCGTTTTTAATAGCAAAATCAGAATAAGAATCCAGGCCTCCCGTCCATTAAGTTCTGTGTTCTTACAAAATCTTTACTACTAAGTGAAAAATCAAAATATCACCATAATAAAAACCAATGATGCTTAATCAGTATCTTCATATTTAGTAAGTAAATGTTTCCCAAGTATATAAAGGAGTCTCTGAAGATTTCAATACTCCAAGAATACTTACAAAGACGAACTAAATACTTACTGAGTTTCTCTAGCTCAAGCCGCAAGCTTTGACACTCCCGGGTTTCATTCACAAGTCTCTCCTGACTGTGAGACAACCTCTTTTCTATTTCAAAATACTGTTGTTCTACAGCAGACAAGCAAAAAACAACAAAATCAAACACATGTACATACATTGTCAATACTGTTATTTATTTCTAATAACTTCGAATTTAAAATTTAAGGTATAGTACTAGAATTGCACTTCACGTAACAGAATCTGAGTAAAGATAAATAGACTGAGCACTGAAAAGGACTTAGAGTATTTCCAAATGACTTACATGACAAAAAATAAAAATAAAAATAAGGCCTAAAAGGGACTTTACAAATGAATGTCTTTAAGGCAGGCAACATGTCTCATTTATCTTAGTATTTTCTCCAGACATCAGTAAACTGCTTACCATGAAGTATTTATTAAACGAGAAAAAATTGTTTAGACAAAAAAAAAAATTGCTTTGTTTTAAAAGGCTTCTCTTATAGTAGTCAAGATATTACCTGAAAGCATAAAACTACTAAATTTACGTAAATGCGTAAACTTCCCAAGGGAAGGGATTGAATATCGTGCTCAGCATAGTATCAGGAACATGTAAGACACTCAATATTTACGGTGCAAATTAATACATAGAATGCAACGTACTACTCAGCTCTGAGATCAGAGAACTAATTTTCAAAGTCAATTCTGCTTGACAGTTACACTTATTTTTACTTTTTTTTTTTTTTTTTTTTGAGACGGAGTCTCCCTCTGCAGCCCAGGCTGGAGTGCAGTGGCCGGTTCTCAGCTCACTGCAAGCTCCGCCTCCCGGGTTCACGCCATTCTCCTGCCTCAGCCTCCCGAATAGCAGGGACAACAGGCGCCCGCCACCACCTACAGCTAATTTTTTTTTTTTTTTTTTTTTAGTAGAGACAGGGTTTCACCGTGTTAGCCAGGATGGTCTCGATCTCCTGACCTCGTGATCCGCCCGCCTCGGCTTCCCAAAGTGCTGGGATTACAGGCGTGAGCCAATGCGCCCAGCAGACAGTTACACTTTTTTTGAAGTAAAAACTTGTTCAGAATTTCCAGTCAATTTAGCAAGAAAAGCATTAACTTCCCCAAACAAATGGTAAACCAAAACACATTATCAGTAAGTTTGTATTTTACTAATGGTAATTACTATATTCTTCATATTTTTTCAAGGATGTTCAAGCCATTATTGTCAGTAACTTTCTTACTTAAAGGCCTACTTTAGGTAATTACAAGAAAATTTTAATCTTTTCTATCAAACTCCAACTTTTTGAGAGAAATCAGATACATTAAATTTATGTACTGCACGTTCACTGTGTTTCCAGCGCTCTTATGCACCTAATATTCATTTTCGTAAACATCTAATTCATTCTGGGGCCACGGGACGACGCACACACTAAGAACAAGTGCACAGAGTGGTCAATTTGGCAAAGGCCTAGAATGCAGGTGACTAGAAAATAGGGCGGAGCCACTACCAGTTGAAGTGCAACAAAACATATAAGGTACTCCAGGCTCAGAGAGATGGGTTAGCAGACTCCAGCCAAGTCTGTTTCCCGTTTGTCGGAAGAAGAGAAATAAGAGTCCCTAAATGAGCCTACCCTAATGACAAAGAAAATGGTACTAAACTTAGATTCAGATTTTATTTTTCAAAGGCTTCTTATCAAACTGTAAGGAGCAGGAAAGCGAAGGCTCAGGATATCCAAAGAGCCCAGGAAGTGAGGTTAACAGCGTGGTACCCAGTGCCAACTTGATAGGGGGAAGACCAGACCCAAAGGGCGAGAGTCAAGCTCATAACCAAGTGCGGAAAGAGCATCTCACTTACCGCTCTCCACCTTAAATTTCTCGTGCCGCCCCTTCAGGCCATCGATCTCGGATTGCTGATCAGCAAGGAACTTTTCAAGTTTGTTCTGGACAGACTTGGGCAGCTTGTTCAGCTCTGTGCGCTCCAGGACTTGCTGCAACACCGCCGCCATGTCGGTGGGGCCAGGGGCCCCAGTGGCAGCGGCTGACGGGGTAGAAGCGGAGAAGAAAGGCGAAGACCAGGAGGACCCAGACGCCTGGGCCGCCGCCTCTACCACCTCGCTCGGTGGCTCGCGCGCGCCCGCCCGCCGGAGACTCCCGCGGCGGGACCCTGGGAAATCGAGTCCAGCCTAAGCGGCGGCGCTTCAGCGACAGCACCTCACCGCCCGCGACCGAAGTGCGCGCGCAGCCGTTGGAAGCTACGCACCCTGGGAACCCGAGCTCAGCTGCTACCCCGATCCTATTGCGCACTCAATTTTCCGGCTTCCAGCTCCACCCACTTCAGGCCTTGTAGGCCTCTGGGAAATGTAGTGTTTTTCTCATTCCCTTCCGCGAGCCCAATCCCGCACCGCCCTTTCAGTTTCCGTTTTTCTCCCCGCCCCCCTGGCTCTCCTATCTCTGCTCCGTAACCGCTGTCCGCACGGTGGCGCCACATACGTACTCGTCACCCCATGGCCCTCCCTGAAGAGCTGGTGACCTTACCATCAAAGCCCCGGGATGCCATGGATCGTCCTCTTTGGCGGCTTCTGGACACTGAGCCACTAGAGGGCATCGGTCCCGGTAGGGGCGGACGGCAGGCTCCAGGCTACCGCCACGCTCTCTATGGCGCCCAGAAGGGGGCGGGGTGGCGACCGCAGTCGCTTTGGCTGAGGCTCTGCGGTGAAGGGAGGGGGGCGTTTTACGTCATCAATCTGCGCCACCTGACTCCCAAGACCCTAGCTTTGGAGTGGGAAGTGAGGTGTGGGAAGTAGGTCGCGTTCTGATGAATTAAGTGGCAGTGAATTGAGACCGGAGGGAATCTGGCCCCTAGAGGCTGGTACTTGCGCCCCCAAACCCCATCTCCAGCAGACAGACTGTCCGAGGTAATTGTCGGCCACGAGTGCACATTCTGAAAACAGGTAAGTCAGCCTAAATGTAGTGTGTGTGTGTGTGTGTGTGTGTGTGTGTGTGCGCGCACTAGAGCACACAGCTCCCTTTTCAAGAGAAAAAGGAAGGGACAGAGTGTTGGAAACATATGGACAGTCACTTCGGCACACACTTCTGACGAACTTACCTTCTGTGAAACGGCGTACCTAAATGGTTTTTGGCGGTGGAGAGGTTGTACTGAGTGATACAGTACCCGGGAATTTAAGGACCCGGGTTAATTCTTCAGGAGGAGAATTAAAAGAAACCGTTAGCACTTTGAGTGTAGCCTGTGTTTTAAATTTTTCTTTGCAGAAATTGCTACCTAACATTATATTGTTTTTAAAATTGAAAACTTATAACTGAAGTTTTTAAACACAGTGTTAATTGCTACAGTAATAGAACTTGCATGTTTCCAGATCATAATTCTGTAATTTTAAAGCTCAATCCGTAGATTGCTTCGTGTTTAATTACTCTTCAGAAAGAATTTATTAAATTATTCATTGTAAATAATGCATTCCCAATGTCTTCTCTCTGCAGTTCCCACAGTCGTGGACCTTCTGTGAATTGGAGATTGATTTCTTATATGAAATTTATTCTTTTTCTCTAGTTCCTACTTTTGAATCATGTTGTGAAGCCATCTAAGAAACATAAATGGAAGCATTTTGTGATATTTTGTAATAACTAAGGAAAAATAAATCAGCGGCGGAGCTTAAGGTTGATTTTTCCCCAAAATACTTTTTAGATAAGCACTGTAATTAAAGTTGCTGGTATATGAAGTATTATGCTATGTCCTAAGCGCACAGTATTATCATACTGTTGATCTGTCATTTGGGAAATGTAGATTTTCTGTATTTAGATTCACAGAATCCTAACATTAGATAGGTTTTCAGATCTGCTAGGATTCAAATGCTTTATTTTATAGATTAGGAAACCGGAGCCCAGGAAGAGTGAGTTGTGTCAGTCACAGTGCTTGGATCACAAAGGCTTTGGCTGATATACAACATTTCTGGAAAATTATGACCCTATAAGGCAAAATACAGTGGTCCCTTAGTGTCCGTGGAGCATTGGTTCCAGGACCCTCTCACCTGCCCACCCCATGGATACCGAAATCCATGGATGCTCCAGTTCCTTATATTAAATGGTGTAGCATTTGGATACTTTAAATCATCTCTAAATTACGTATAATGCCTAATACAATGTAAATGCTATAGTAGTTGTATTGTTTAGGAAATAGTGACAAGAAAAAACATCTTTGCACTAATGGTACAGATGTAATCATGCTTTTTTAAAATAGAATTTCTTTCAGTCTGCGGTTGGTTGGCTACATGGAAGTGGAAACCACAGATATGGAAAGCTGACTATATATATTTTTAGTACTGCCTTTTATAAAGTATGGTTGACTACATTTAAACATTTTGAAAGAGCTCTAAAGAAAAATTTATCTGACATTCAATCCGATTTCATAATTGAACAGATTTTCACCTCTCTATTGCATTGAGTTTCTTACACATTAATATGGCTATTATTGGCACCCTAGAAGAGCTAAGGTTAAAAGGGTAAATATAACTTTGGAATTATTTGTATTTGTTGCAAGAATTAAGAATTATTAGAGCAGAAGGAAAAGGAGTATAATATGATGAAGTAGAGGAAAGTTAATATATAGAATTTCATACCTTAAGGCATTACTAAAAGGTAAAAGCCCTTAACTTCACAGAGGCATCAGTGATATTTAGACAAGCATTCCTAGACTTAGTCTCTAAAAAATGATATGCAAATCTGATTCACGTCTATTGTTGTCAAAAAAGAGCTAGGAAGAAATTAACGTATTTTGAGACAAAACTGAGCGAGCTCATTGAAACAATAATGAAACAGCCTCTAGTAGGACAGTTCAAACTTGAATCCATTCTCTGGGCTTTAATTTTAAAATGCAAAACCATCTTGTGACTGACAGTTTACTGGTATCAGATATACCATCCCAGCATATCTCTGGTAGCCTTAACTTTGTGGTACTGAATAAGATTCACATTTTTTACAGAACCCAAATGATGATTATTCCTAAATTGCAGTGTTCAAAATACTGTAACTGTGTTCCTACAGTCTCTGTTTGTTTTATAGCTCTTTTGGGTATCATCTCTTTTACATTTTCATCCTCACCAATTATGAGCTCCTTGATTTAATCATTCATTATATTGCCTAGCTCTTTTATTCAGTATCTTTGGTTTTAAGCTATAGAAATGCAAATCGAAGGAGCATAAGCCAATAGAGGGAATGAATATACTGATTTCCTTCCACAAATCAGAGAGAAAGCAGAACAAGAGCTATGCTTAGTAATGATTTAATTGAAGGACTGGTTACGATTCCTCGTTACGAGAATGGTGTTGAAAAACAGGGATTCTAGAGCTGGAGTGTCTCCTTTGCCACTTAACCAACTTTGTCATTTTGGCAAATTATTTAATCAACTTTTCTCATTTCAGTTTCTTCATATATAAAATGAGGATTATAATGGTACCTACTTCCTGGGGTTTCATGAATTATTGTTACATGGAAAGTACTTACAATAATGCCTTGTTCAAAATAGAAGCTATATAAATGTTGTTGTTGTATTGCTATTTTTCTACTTAAATAACTCTTACTGTAGTATATATTGCTCAAGGACAGAGACTGTGTTGCTCATCTTTGTGTTATCCCACTTAGCATAGTTTCTAAGCAAAAGTATAGTTCTTTCATATATGCTTATCAAGTAAATGAATTTGACTCTACTTCCTAATGAACTATTCAGAAATTCATGTTTACTATTTTAGCAATGAGAACACTGAGACTTAGCAATATGTTATCAAAGACAATACAACTAGGAAGTAGATCTAAAATAAGAAATCTGATGTGTTGGCCGGGCACGGTGGCTCACGCCTGTAATCCCAGCACTTTGGGAGGCCGAGGAGGGCGGATCACCTGAGGTCAGGAGTTCGAGACCAGCCTGGCCAACATGGTGAAACCCCGTCTCTACTAAAAATACAAAAATTAGCCGGGCATGGTGGTGGGTGCCTGTAATCCCTCCTACTCAGGAGACTAGAGGCAGGAGAATTGCTTGAACCCGGGAGGCGGAGGTTACAGTGTGCCAAGATTGTGCCGTTGCACTCCAGCCTGGGTGACAAGGGCAAAACTCCATCTCAAGAAAAAATAAATTAAAAAAAAAAAAAGAAAGCAATCTGATGTATTGCCTACTAGTTTAGTATCCTCTCCCTTATCCCAGCTTTTGAGAAAAAGGTTTGATCTCTCATGTCAACTCTGGTTGATTTGTGGTTGTTTCCTGCTGCACTGTATTGAGAACTCTGGAACTACATCTGAACTTTGCAAGAAGGAATACACTGTGTAATAAGCATTTGCTGCAAGGCCTGGGATGGCCTCAGGATAGTATCACTTCTTTTGCTGTACTACTCTCATGATAAAGACATTGCAAATGATATTTTACCTAAAAATACTGTATCTTTTTTTCTTGTAATATAGGAGATTTTAGTTCCTAAAAATGGGAAGAACCTACATTGTAGAAGAGACTGTTGGCCAGTATCTTTCAAACATAAATCTCCAAGGAAAGGCTTTTGTCTCTGGCCTTTTAATAGGACAGGTATGTATCTTTTACTCTGTATTTATTACTAAATAATTACTCTGTAATTTATTAAAACAAATTACTTGTTTATTTAAAGTTAAAAGATGCTGTTTAATAATAAACTCAAGGTTGGGGGATGGAAGAAGGAATGTAGAAGAAGTAACTTTAAAGTAGATCTTTGGGGAAACATGGAAAAGTGACAAACCTAGCCCAGTTTTGCTCAAGTCAGGACACCTTCCCCTTTCACCATGTAAAAGTAATTTATTACATGGAAACTTCAGAATTAGAATGTTCATTGACCAGATTATTCACATTTTGTTGTCTTTCCAGAGTGTTTTGTACTCCCTTCTAATCTTTCTAATATCTGGTTATTCAATTCTTTACAAAGGAAGCTTTTGAAAATTTTATTCCTATTCTGATTTGTGTTGTCTTATATTAGACATTATAGCAACAGTGGTCATATTTTTATATGCTATAGTACCCATCTTACTGCATTTTTTTTTATGTTGGATCAATAAGGAGGGAGAGGGATTGGGAAAAATTTGGAAATTAGACAAATTCTAATTTTTTCTTAGAGCTGTGTCTTAAAAATCGACACAAAATCAAACAGAGATTCAGGTACTTATTTTAAAACCTATGCCACTGATTTGTTATAGGTGAAAGAAGAACCTGTTAATCAGCTGGAGGGACTGGTCAGCAGTACAAAGCAAAACAAACAAACAAACAAAAAAAACGAGTCACACAGGCAAGCTGACTGTGTCTATCCAAAAACACTGGGGAGAGTGCACTTTGGCCCAAGGACTTGATTTTGAGGCCTACTAGCCAATAAAGCTCTTATTGGGACAATTTTCTTTCTAGATAACTTAGCCTGATGCCTTAGAATCTTCAAATTACGTAATTAACTTTCCTTATTCTGATTCTATCCATATTCCCAAGCTACTTTCTTTTATAGTTTGATGCCCCATGTTATCTATTTATAAAGAATACACTGTCCAGAGGACTCGTGTTCAGATGCCTTCATGACATTTTAGCTTTCTACATCATTCTGAATAAACTCAGTTAATGTCAGTCTAGCCATGAAAGACAGGCTCATTTTCAGAATTTTTACAAATCTCATTTCTTAATTTGCAAAACAGAGGGCACGTCTACATGGATCAACCAGGTAGCACCACCCTGTGAAGCCTCTCATTAGACAACCAGACCACCTCTCTTGAGAACAGTGTGAATTTCTTTTTAATTCAGTTACTTAGCATGTAATTCGGGGCTCTTTTTGTTAGGAGTTTTCTGTTTAAGTTTTTTTGTTTCTCTTTGTTTAAAATATTAAAGAGAAGAAGTCTTAGAGAAACATGTGATCGGTAGAAATAAAAAGTCAGGGAGAAAGACCCTCTTCTAAATTTGTCTTAATTGGATAAAGGTTGTTTCTAAAGCTCAGGCAAACTGCCATCTTACAAATGAGTGTCTCATAATTTAAGGCCTTCCTTCCATCTGTCTTTATGCTTTAGTATGTATTGCTCAAGGACAGAGGAATTCATTCCTTTCAGTATTCTCCGTGCTTTTTCTTCGCTTTTCTTCCAGAGTTTATTGCTTTTTCCTCTCCTTCCCCTTAAGCTTGCTTGTTTCCTGGTCTCTGTCAGTTTTTCTTTTCAAAGTTATACATTTTATGAAGAAAAGAGAAGCCTTCTTAACTGAGACCTACCTTCTTTTCCTGTGTTTATATGAATGTAACTTCCTGAAAATAACTTGTAGGAATAATTAATCTTATTTTCTATCCCAAGGTGATACTAATGATCTTTTCAGGTCTAATACATTTCAGGTCGTGTGTGGGGATGATACAATGCTAACTTGCATTAGCAGTGTTATTTTCACTCTTTTTTGTAGGAAACTTTCACTCTAGTGAAACTGAGCTATTAAATGTTCCCTACATTTATTTTTAGATCTCCCACCTTTGGTCACTACTTAACTGATCTTACAACTGAAGAACAGATTGGGTGTGGTGGTTCATGCCTGTAATTCCAATGCTTTGTGAGGCCGAGGTGGGAGGATTGCTTGAAGCTCGGAGTTTGACCTAGCCTGGGCAACATAGCAGGACTCTGTCTCTACAAAAAAGTAAAAAAAAAAAAAAAATTAGCCGGGCGATTGTGGCTGGTTGTTCAAGCCTTGTAGTCCTAGCTACTTGGGAGACTACTCGGGAGGATTGCTTGAGCCCAGGAGTTCAAGGTTGCAGTGAGCTGTGATCACGCCACTGCACTCTAGCCTGGGCATTAGAGCAAGACCCTGTCTCTAAATAAATAAACACACACACGCACACACACAAAAAACAAAACAGAAAAAACCCCTGAAGAACGTGGAATCTGTTGTCACTTTGAATTGTGTCCCAAATCCCCTTTGTTATTCTGTGGAAATGTATGTGGAAGTTCCCCACTGTCATCATTTCAGTTAAAATAAGATACAAAAGGTCACTTGTTTAATTTCACTGATATTTTCCAATCTATTCACTTACTATTTATAAAACAAATATATCTAGAAAATATAACAAATATAACTAGAAAACTGAATAAGCATATTACTTTTTAGTTAATGTAATTCATTCACTCATCCCGTAAACCATTTTTAGGGACCACTCTGTGATTTATATTTGAGTTGTCCAAATAAATAAGAAGCTGATATTAAATACGTTAAAAGATAAACAACATGTGAGGGAAAGGTTGTAAGGCCACTCTTAAAAATTAGCTTCCCTTTAGCTTCCACCATAATATTGGTGTTAATGATTTAACCTGTTAACAAATATTACTCAGTTTTTGCATGTCATAAAAGCTAAGGAATTCAGGTATCACTCTAATTAGATTGAGGAATCAGATGCCACTCTAACAAGCTTTTAAATTTGTTTTTGAAGTGTTCTTCACAAAAGGATTATGTGATTCTTGCCACTAGAACGCCCCCCAAAGAGGAACAAAGTGAGAACCTCAAACATCCCAAAGCTAAGTTGGATAACTTGGATGAAGAATGGGCCACAGAACATGCCTACCAGGTTATCTTATTTTTCTGTTTATGTGTTTTAGTTTTATTTCAAAAAAGCTAGAATCAAGAAGATTTAGTGACTGAGTAGAGAGAAGAGACATAGGGAGAAAGTAGCTAAATATGACTGAGATTGTTAGCTGGGGTGTCTAGGAGGATAGTGTTGGCATTATACAAGGAAGAAACAGATTTGGGATGAGTGAGTGGGAATAATGACTAAAATCACTTACAAGTATTTATTGAATGAATTATGTATCATCAAATACATAATGTTAGAATAAGCTAAAAATAGAATTATTTCCTTTTCTGGGGTTGGGGGTGGTGGGAGGGAACTTAGAGGACGAGTCAATAGGTACAGAAAGCCACCACAGCACACGTATAACTATGTGACAAACCTGCCCATTCTGCGTTTTTGGGTTTTTGTTTTTTTGAAGAAAAAGAATTTTCTTTAAGAAATAAAAGAATTATTTTCTTTTCCAATCAACTTTAAATCTTTTAAACTCAAACTTGTGTTTCTGTGTATGTGTATATATATATATACATGGACATATATCTGTATCTGTGTTTGTGTTTGTGATTATGGGGCAGTGCATAGTTATATACAACAAAAATCCTGCCTGTAATCCCAGCACTTTGGGAGGCCAAGGCGGGTGGATCACCTGGGGTCAGGAGTTCGATACCAGCCTGGCCAACATGGCAAAACCCTGTCTCTATTAAAAATATGAAAAATTAGCCAGGTGTGGTGGCAGGTGCCTATAATCCCAGCTACTTGGGAGGCTGAGGCAGGAGAATTGCTTGAACCCGGGAGGCAGAGGTTGCAATGAGTCAAGATCGCGCCATTGTACTCCAGCCAGAGCGACAAAGCAAGACTCTGTCTCAAAAAACAAAACAAAACAAAACAAAAAACAAAGAAATTCAATATTTAATTATTATTGTTTTAGTCCGTTTGTGTTGCTATTAAGGAATACCTAAGACTGAGTAATTTATAAAGAAAAAAGGCCTTTTTGGCTCATGATTCTGCTGGCTGCAAGATTGAGCATCTGGTGAAAGCCTCAGGCTGCTTCTGTTCATGTCAGAAGGCAAGTTGGAGCTGGTGTGTAAAGATCACGTGGCCAGAGAGGAAGCAACGGGTTGGGAGGTGCCAGGCTTTTTTTTTTTTTTTTAACAACCAGCTCTCCTAGGAACAAATATAGCGAGAACTCGTTCATTGGTGTGAGGATGTAACCAAGCCATTAATGAGGGATCTGCCCCATGACCCAAACAGCTTCCGTTAGACCCCACTTGGGTTCACATTTCAACATGATGTTTAAGGGGGACAAATATGGCAACTATCTTCTAAAAAAAATATTAAGTATTGTAAAGTTAAATTCCCAATGGTTTATAAATAACTTTCTACTCTAATTTTGCTTTTGATCTCTCATGAAATTGTATATGACACACACACACACACACACACACACAGAGTATTGATGAATTTATATAGTAAATTAGCTTAACCTTTTACCTCTAGAAAGAAAAGGTTGATTTTACTTTTTCCCCTTTCTTGCTGTCACCTCCATCTCCTAAAAAATGGTTAATTTTTTGTGTTGGTGATTTTGAAAAGATACCAGGCTCCCTATGCTAAATATGAAAACTTTGTCAGATTGTGCTACTATAGTAAATAGAGTTTATTAAATTAGAGGAAACCACCAGCAGACATAATGCAGGTAGATTAAGGATTAGAGCATGGTATCTAATTTTTTAAGACTCTACTCTGATTAATTCCTTATACATTAACTAATGAAAAGCTAACCAAAGCACTCTAATCTCTGAGTGTAGATGATAGAAAAAAATCCATGTGGTGTTAAGAACTAGCCACAATCATGTGAAGGGAAATACAAATATGGAGATATCATGGTAGTATGTATCAAAAACCTTGAAAATATGTATAACTTCTTAAACCAGTTGTCCATCTCAAGGGATTTGTCCTAAACAAATAATTCTATGAATGCAGAAAGACGTACCAGGATTTTTAATCTGTATTATTTTAAGGTAAAATTAGATATAACATAAATGCCCAATATCAGTAAATAGGCTTAAAAATTTGAGGTTGATCTATGTGATAGAAAATAATGGATTTTCAAGTCAGACTCCCTCTGTTCAAATTCCAGATCTAGTATGCTGCTAAAAATAGGGATACAAAGGTAGAATTACTTATTCCCTTAAGGAGCTCCCTGACCAACTAGTAGGGTTCACAGATAACTATAATATAAGGCTATGTGATAAAATCCTTGGGAAAACTACCCTGAAGCCCTATGGGAGTTCAGAGATCAAAGGATCAGAGAAGGCAGCTTCCTAAAGCTGCCTTTGAAGTGTCCAGTAGAGTTGAGACACGTAGAAATATAAGAGAAAGTCATTTTTGGCCTAGGGAGCACCCTGAGTAAAGACATAGGGTTAGAAAGCTTAGGATGTATATGGGACACAGTTTATAGCTCATTTGACTCTACTTTTCAAGTAGTTTTTGACAAATATTTGAATTACTTGAGGAAGAGTAGTGTCAAATGAGGGTATAAACATCAGATTGACCAAATTCTAGAAAGTCTGAAATATCAATCTAAAATAAAACTTAATTTTATTTAGCTGATGGTGGGACACCATTGAAAACATATTTCAGTCTTTGATCTCCTGAGAAAGGGGTTTATTTGCTGATGTAGCTAAAGGATGTTGTTATCAGATAGTTTTATTTAGAAAGTAGTTTTAAGGTGAAAAACTAAGGACGCTCTAAGAAGACAGTTTCTCAAACGGAAAGGATTGTGTGTAATGCCAAATGCTTTCGTTAGCTAATACTATGTTTCTATTTTTAGGTATCCAGAATGCTACCAGGGGGACTTTTAGTTCTTGGAGTATTTATTATTACTACTTTAGAACTGGCAAATGATTTTCAAAATGCCCTGCGTAGAGTAAGTTTGATATATCGAAAATTCTTAATGAAATCAGTTATATGTTATTTTTATTGATTATGAGTATATATAATGATTCTAGGCATAGTTAAATTTGTTTTCCATAATTCTTTTTGCTGGAGTTACATAGAAAAAGCTTTTTTCACTCAATTTCTTGGATATCTTGAGTGTAAAAACTGTTTATATTTTTTAAAACTACATATTTTAAAATAGTCTTTATTTTAGAGATAATTCTGACTATTAGGAAACAAGTTATAATGTTTTAACAGTTTTTCTTGTACAATAGCAGTATTCTGTCACACATTCCATTTAGCACCTAGTGATTATTGTAACATGAAATTAATAGGTGCTGAAATTCTTTACCTTCTTTTCAATTCTTCTTGGATCCCAAGAGTAAAACATAAAGAATCAGATTATTCCTGGACACAGTATCTATCAGGAATCTCCTGTGTTTTTTGCTTAATTACTGCACCAGAGAATAGGGTAATGTAGTGTAAAAGTAAATATGAAGTTGCACAAGCTGTTTTCCCTTAAACCCAAACCTAAGGTAAACTCTGTGTAGCCAGCTCTTTCAACATTCAGGATCCACATGAACTTTTTGAAGGGTATTTCATACCCCAAAAGAGGGGGGACCTTTTAATCTTGAGACATATAAAACCCAACCTCAGCAGTATCCCACAAAAAGTGTGCAGCTGAGAACTTCAGATGTTACAGATTTTTTCAGTCTTGTAACCTGTCCTGTCAGATGTCCAAGCCTCAAGCCTCTGATATTTGCACCTAAGGGAGTAAGGGAAGAAAATGGAGATATTCTCCCTGCTAAATTGTTTGACCCTCTGCCAATTTTTCCATCTTAAATAAATTTACCTTGTTCACAATTGTTCATTCCCTTTGGCATTTTGAAATTTAACCTAAATCTATGCATATTTAATGTTAATAGCATTGATTGTGCACTCTTTTGTGGCTGGTGCTGAATTGAGTGGGTTGAATGTGGGCCCAGTGCTAGAGGGATATAGCCAGACCCACTTTCCTTGCTTTTGTATCTTTTGTTCCTAAAAAGTATATAAAACTTTAGAAATGCTTATCTGTAAAATTACTGAGTTTCAATTATCTAATTGTTTCCATTGGCTTACATTGACCAACACTATAAGAAACAGCCTTATAAAACTTGTCAGTGTCACCCATTGTTGTTAGGAACTTTATTCTTCATGTTACATTAATATTGTGTTTCCGGAAGAAATTTCTTTTTATATCATGAAGAAAGTTGTGCCTCCTCTGATGATTGTTTGTCTTCAGCTTACAGACCATGTGAATTAGGTTACAGATTAGGTTTCTCTCTGTGCATTATTGTTAGAAAGCTTAGAGCGAAATGTGTTACCACCCCTTATATCAAGTATGCATTTTTATAATTCTTATTTCTGACACAAATTTATCTCACTATTCTACTTTAACTTTTAATTTATGTTATTACTATATTTTATATGTTGTTATATATTGCCTTAGGTCTTGTGTGACATTTAAACAAGAAATGCTAATGACATGCTTGATTTCTTTAGTTAAAATCACTTGTCATTTCTCATTCTAATGAAAATAAAGTCTCTGTTCTATAGTTTATGTAAATTCTAGTTGCCCCAAATTAATTGTTCATGTCCAGTTAATCACTAATGACAGTGAATTACATTTTTTAATTTAAACCCAATTTTTTTGTAATTTCCTAAAAGGGACTCAAAAGGTTAGTAATTAGCTCCAGTCTTTAATTTGAAGAAAAGAAAAATTAATGGTGGCACACCTGTACTCTCAGCTATGTGGGACGCTGAGGTGAGAGAATTGCTTGAGCCCAGGTATTAAAGGCCAACTTGAGCAACATAATGAGACCCCTTCTCCAGTAAATAATCATGAAATTTTAAAGCTAGATGAGAGTTGGGGACATTATAATTGCCCATTTCAACACTCACTTTTTTTTTTTTCATTTTGCATTCAATTGATGTGTATTTTTCTCTTTCAGCTAATGTATGCTGTGGAAAAGTCTATAAATAGAAAGAGATTGTGGAATTTCACAGAGGAGGAGGTCTCAGAACGAGTGACACTTCACATTTGTGCTTCTACAAAAAAGTATCTTTTGTTCAGTTTATGGTTTAAAAGTACAAAGTACCAAAATAATATTATTGCAAGGTTTTTTTGCTATTTAAATCATCATTTAAAAAATAGGCGTAGTTTTGTAAGATTTTTCTGTAAATAACATGGAATTAGAGCTGCTAATAATAATAATAGCAATAATGGTTGTTAATCATGTCCCAAGGTCATAAAAAGCTTGAGATCTGAAATATGAAAGTCTCAGGATTTTGAATTTTTTACCTATCTGCCCCGGTACATCCAAGCACAATAGGTTCTCTACAGAGATAAATGCCTAACTCATGACTTAGGCAAAGTAATGTTTTTATTTTGGTAAAGTTTTCACCTCCAGTTTCGATAGATAATGATGTACAATTCAAAGCACAGGTGCACAGAGCTGGATAGTATAGGACATCCGAGAAATTCTTATGTCTTTGGCTAAGATGAAATGACACTAAAAGCTAGTTACAGGGCCTCCTTACCTTCTCTTGTCTACACCTTGCCAGGGCAAGGGTACCTCCCAAGCAAGGGTCAGCCTCACCGAAGTAGTGACACGGTTGATGGACTTCCAAAGACAGAATTTTAAAAGTGACCATCCCTGCAGAAGCAGGGCTTTTTTTTTTTTTTTCTTTTCTTTTTATATCTTTAGTATTTAACTGCAAAGTTTCATGTACAAGCCCTTTAATCCAGTAAATAGTCTCAGGTTTGACCTCATATAAAACAGTGCTACTTTTTTTAATGGAGAATGTGTGTTTGAGCAGAATTTCACAAGTGCTTTGATTCTATTTATTGCAATTAGCGGGATTCATAAAAGGTAGGAAATGATTTTTCAAGCATCTCAAGTACTATAGTGACAGCAGTTTACATGTATGACTACATATACACATATATGTATACACATGCACACATGTATACATATATGTACGCATATCTTTAAAGTTATGATTTTGTAAGAACTTTTGGATGTGTGCATTTTTTAGTTTATTTTTTGATGGTTTATATTCTTTTAGTTATCAATAATGCCTTTTTTGGTTATTTCTTTCCTTAATTAGTAAAGAATATTTTGTCGAACTTATGATATGCATGATCCAAAGGTAAGAAATTTACTCTTTAAAGATTTTTCTGTGTCACAAAGTATTTTCAATCAAAATTCAGCTTTATATTTAGTTTTAATAATTTCCATTGCCATCACTTCCTACTGATGTCTACGGCTAACTATAGTTTTTACTTTGAACTATGATTAATTTTATTAAAGGTAAGGAAAACTTTTGTGTGTGTGACAGGGTCTCACTCTGTTGCCCAAGCTAGAGTGCAGTGGTGCAGTCATGGCTCACTGCATCCTCCACCTCTTGGGCTGGAGGGATACTTCCACCTCAGCCTCCTGAGTAGCTGAGACTACAGATGTGCACCACTGCACCGTAATTATTATTATTATTATTATTATTTTTTTTTGATAGAGATAGGGTTTTGCCATGTTACTCATGCTTGTCTTGAACTTCTGGGCTCAAGTGATCTGCCTGCCTTGGCCTCCCAAAGTGCTGGGATTGCAGGCTTGAGCCACCAGGCCCAGCCAACTTTTAAAAAAATTGTTAAAATATCTTTGTTAATCTCCTCCTGCCTTGTTTGTGTATTTAGTTTTATATTTGAGAGGCTGGTAATAAAAGTGACTGAGGACTTTGGTAGCTGCAATGCCTACTAAACAAGCTATGTGTATTCAGCAAAACCCAGACTAGCACTTTGCTAATGCATCTAAAAGGGTTGTGAAAGAGTAACTTTGCAGTGTCATTAGCAAGGATGGGACAGAAGGAGAATGCCTGCCACCTAGGAGTTGCTCAGTGATTATTTGCTTCACATCAGAATCTTCAATATTGATACTGTTGAAGCTAGAGGATCAAAGGACCTTTCAGAATTCTAAACATGGAAATTTCTGATTCTTTTTCTGTCTACCATTGGGAGGAGCAGTGATGCCAAGGATGCCAAGCTTGAAGAGTACTGAACTTAACACATGCTTTCTTTTGTATTTAGTTCAACCTGTAGTCTTTTGATCGAGGGTTTAGCCATATATGTTAGATATCAGCTTGTATGCGTTATTTAGGTTATATACTTAATGATGTTTTGTTGATCCATGTATTTTATCTAGACCACATCATAGTTATTTTTCTCCCTTCTCCACTACTAGGGTTCAGCAAGACCAGCAGATTGGAAGTATCAAAGTGGATTATTATCCTCATGGCTTTCTTTAGAGTGTACAGTTCACATTAATATTCATATCCCACTTTCTGCTACTTCTGTCAGCTATACTCTGGAGAAAAATACAAAGGTATCAGGGTAAAATGAATTTTCTTCAGTGATTGCTAAGTGAACAATCTGCTTTTATTTTGCTTGCATGTGTCATTCATTTTACAATCCTAAAAAATTACATTCTGTTTATATGAGTGAGTAACCATACCCACAGCCAAATTAGAAATTTTTAGAAGTGGAACAATGTCATAATACTAGTGTATTCAGTTTAATAATAACTAATAATTTAGTTATTGAACTAAATACACTAGTATTTATTGTGTGCCAATTAAGTATTATTATGTGCTTTGTCATTAAACTAAATACACCAGTATTCATTAATTAACATATGTAAAATGTAATTAATGTACGAAGTTATAGTGTTTGGACTTTCAGCTTTCTCTTGGTACTTAGATTTTTTGTCTTTTTCCAGTTTTTTTTTGTATTTCTATACCATTCTTTTATTTTTATCTTATTTTTCTTCATTTTTCCCATTGAAGATGTCAAATGGAGCTTTTTTTAAAAAAATTATTTAGACATATTATTTGAGGTTTTTTTCTCACTTTTTTTTTTTTTTAAGGTAATGGGCGTTAAATTTTATTTAACTGGTCATGTACTTAATAACCTCCCGAGTCTGTGACATAAATGTTATTCTGGGATAAAGATCAGAAAAAAACTATATTATTATATATGATAAGGTACCAAGAATTGGGGGGTATAATTTTTTTTTAATTTGTGAAACTAGATTTAAATGCTGCATTAATGAGACTTTTAGGGATTTTAATATTTGTTTATTAGGTGAAAAAAGTAGATTATAGGAAGTTTAATTGAGATAGGAAATCTGAGAGATTTCCATGTTGTGTTTCTCTTAAGAATGGACTTACACGCTGGGCCAAGGAAATAGAAAATGGTGTTTATTTGATTAACGGACAAGTTAAAGATGAAGATTGTGACCTATTAGAAGGACAGGTGAGTTAAGAGAAAAATCATCTTATTAAATTGTTAATGCTTAAGGAAAAATAAAAGATGACTTATTTTTAGTCCTTGCCTACAAGAAAACTGATTTCATCTACCTCTCATTTATAATTTCTTTAAAAATAAAGGGCAAATGTTTTTCTTAGAAAAACAACCCCATTAAAAAGTAGGCAGAGGACATGAACAGACACTTTTCAAAAGAAGACATACATGCAACCAAGAATCGTATGAAAAAGTGCTCAGCATTACTGATCATTAGAGAAATGCAAATGAAAACCACAGTGAGATACCATCTCACACCAGTCAGAATGGCTGTTACTAAAAAGTCAAAAAATAACAGATGCTGGTGAGGCTGCAGAGAAAAAGGAATGCTTACACACTGTTGGTGGGAGTATAAATAAGTTCAACCATTGTGGAAGGCAGTGTGGTGATTCCTCAAAGACCTAAAAACAAGGATACCATTTGATCCAGCAATCCTATTCCTGGCTGTACACCCAAAGGGATATAAATTGTTTTATTGTAAAGACACATGCATACATTACGTTCACTGCAGCAGTATTCACAATAGCAAAGACGTGGAATCAACCTAAATGCCCATCAATGATAGACTGGATAATGAAAATGTGGTATGTACACACCATGGAATACTATGCAGCTGTAAAAAAAGAACGAGATGATGTCCTTTGCAGGAACATGAGTGGAGATGGAGGCCATTATCCTTAGAAAACTAATGCAGGGGCCAGGCGTGGTGGCTCACATCTGTAATCCCAGCACTTTGGAGGGGCTGAGGTGGGTGGATCACTTGAGGTCAGGAGTTCAAGATCAGCCTGGTCAGCATGGTGAAACCCTGTCCCTACTAAAAGTACAAAAGTTAGCCAGGTGTGGTGGCAGCTGCCTGTAATCACAGCTACTCAGGAGGCTGAAACAGAAGCATCGCTTGAACCTGGGAGGTGGAGGTTGCATTGAGCTGAGATCGTGCCACTGCACTCCAGCCTTGGGCTACAGAGTGAGACTCCATTTCAAAATAAAAGAAAAGGAAAAAAAGAAAACTAGCAGAGGAACAGAAAACCAAATACCATATGTTCTGACTTATAAGTGGGAGCGAAACAACGAAAACACATGGACACATAGAGGGGAAAAACACACACTGGAGCCTATCGGAAGGTAGAGGGTGGGAGGAGGGAGAAGGAGAGAGTCAGGAAAAATAACTAATGGGTTCTAGGTTTGATACCTGGGTGATGAAATAATCTGTATATCAAACCCCTATGACTCAAATTTACCTATGTAACAAACCTGCACATGTACTGATGAACTTAAAAAATAAGTAAGTCCAAGAAAAAAAGAGAAAGTGATGTGATTGAAATCCCGAAACTTATGGGAGTGTCATCTGAATTTCATTTAATTTCCAAATTGCAAGTTGCTGACCTGCAACCAAAGGCCACAAGTTGTTCTGCCCTCATGGCAGTTCAAAAGCTATGGCAATTTTATAAGAGAAGTCTATAGAGGCTTCTAAAATAGCTTTGACCTGAAGGAAGCAGAACTTCTGTGATCCCTCCCTTTTCAAAGCAGGGATCAGCAAACTTTATGTGAAGAGAAAAATACTACATATTTAGATTTCACAGTCTGTATTTTTATGTCTACTGTGTAGCATGAAAGCAGCTACAGGAGATATACGTAAGTGAATGATCCTGGTTGCATACCAGTAAAACTTTATTTACAAAGACAGGTAGCAATGTGGGTATTTGCCCACAGGCAATGGTTTGCCAGTTGTTGCTTTAGAGGAATGAAAGTATGGAATTAATTGTTTTAAAGACTGCACATTGATCCAGAATACATAAAATAATATCTATGTAAAAAACTAAATTAAAATAATTAAAAGACTTGTTTTTTCTAAGTTAGTACATCTACAATAGTCTAAGTTGTCTTTTATGTTCTATAGTCTTAACAATTTGGCTTTTTAACTTTTGTGTTTTTTCAGAAAAAATCTTCTAGAGGAAATACTCAAGCAACTAGTCATTCTTTTGATGTCAGAGTGCTAACGCAGTTGGTAAATATTTTAAAATACCACTTATTTAAAATATTTATTAGACTAACCATAATGAAACTTTCTGTTTTTATGTTTCTCATTAGAGAATAAAAGGATTTTAGAGCTGTAAGAGACTGTATGAAATGGCTGGTTATAGGAAGTGTTATTCCCAAGAAACGTCATTTTAATAAAACCTGTTTGGGTTTTTTGCCTTAAGGATATTAAAATTTTAACATCAATAGCAGTTGAAAAAAATATGTACATATACATACATACATATGTGATATGTATGCATGTGTGTAAATATTTTGGGTTGTAGCTTTTATAGTTAAAGTTGCAATTTTAACAACTTAAAAGTAAAAGATGTGTATACAGAGGTGCAAAGAGTTTTCATATGCTTAATTTGAAGTAGATTTATTAGATTTATACCGCTTGATTTGATAAAAATTACAAAGTATTAATTAGCAAGTTTTATATTTCTGTATGGTTTCATTAATTTACACATCTTTTCGAAAATTTAAAAGTTGGATATCTTGAAGAATAAAAAGTTAAAGCCACTAATTACTCCTAAAAATATACATGGCTTTGATTTTAATCCTACTTGAAATTATCCTAAAGAACAGACAAGGGTATAAAATAGCACACGCGTGTTTGTAGGAAACTTTATTTCAATATTATACTGAATTTTGAAACAGAAGTACTCTCAGGACTTGTCTTTTTTTGAACTGAATAGAATAGAATTAAAAGCAATTTGTCATTTAAGGATGTTTTAGTTTCTTCTTTTTCTGTGTGTAGCAATAGAGCATTAGTAAATTGTCTTTGGACTTATGCCACTCAATGTGAGTTCTCAATTTCATTTTTCAATACCTTAGAAGTATTTTAGTCTTGATTTTCTACTTTGTCTTGATTTTAGAAGTATCCTTTGTTTTGAGGCTGGCTATTCCTCTACTTATGTGCTCTTCACTAGTTAGGCTTACTACATGGTTTATTAAACAATTTGGTTAAGATTATTTTATTAATAGTATAAAATTGTAGTTGGGAGATGTATAGAGTGTGGGAATATAGAGAGATGAGTGAAAGATAATCTCATGAGATAATTTATTGTAGTAATATTGTATAGTATATTTTTGGCAGTCACTCCACCGATCACTTAACTGGAAATTTTGAAGTGACTAATATACAATAAGTAGTCAGTACTTATTGCCACTTTTTTCCCAGTTAAGTCTCATTGATTCCTTATTTGTAGTATTAAGCTTTTCTTTTATTTTTCATACAGTCCTGCTGTTATTAGCCTTACAACACTATTATTTTACCTAAATTAGCACAAGTAACCCTTAACTGGTCTCTCTTCATCTATACATTCTTGTCCAAACTGATTGTTTCTCTAAAAACCCTTCTACCTTTGTTAGTATATCTCTTGAAATACTTTCCATTTATCTACTCTATCCTGTTTATACACTCAGATGATCATTTCTGAATCATAGTTTATGTTCAGTTATTAATTTTTTTCAAGAAGTATTTATTGAGTTTGTACAATGGCCAGACACTGATTATGTTATTCTTCTTGCTCAAAATTTCTTAAGTGTTCTGTACTGACTAGTTAGAGAAGTCCAACTCAGGGTTCTTCATAGCCTCAACATACCTTTTTGTTCTTTCTTTCTACCTCTTATTTTCTAAATGTATGCTTGCTGTACCTTTAAAACTCTGTATTTCCTGAACTATGTGTTATGTCTTTGCTCTTTTCTCTGTCACCCAAACTGTCAAAATCCTATCAGTACATTAAGATCTAGCCCAAATGCCATTACTTGTGTAAGATTTCATTTGGTTCCCATAAAAATGGGGAATCTTCTCTTTTTCAAATGCCATGTTAGCATCATAGAAGTTCCTTTACCTAAAGGCTGTTTGTCAGCCAGGTTATTCCTAAGTCCAGGTAATCAAGAGGAGTTTACATTTGTAGACCCCAACTGGTTTACATTTCCACCTAAAAGGAATGAGTCAGACCTTATATTCTTTAAAACTTTTCCTGGCTGAGCATGGTAGCTCATGCCTGTAATCCCAGCAATTTTGGGAGGCCTAGGCAGGGTGATCGCTTGAGCCTAGGAGTTCAAGATGAGTCTGAGCAACAAGTGAAACCCTGTCTCTACAAAAAAGACAAAAATTAACTGGGGGTGATGGTGTGTGCCTGTAGTCCCAGCTACTCGGGAGGCGAAGGTGGGAGGATCGATTGAGCCTAGGATCTTGAGGCTGCAGTGAGCTGTGATAGCACCACTGCACTCCAGGCTGGACGACAGAATGAGACCCTGCCTCAAACAAAACAAAACCGACCAACCAACCAAAAAATACCTCTTTTCTTTAATATGTGTGTATATGATCTTTAATAGTCTAGTCTATTTTGGAAAACAGTGCCCTAATTAAATATAGATAAATAGCTAGCTAGCTCGATAGATGTATATACATACACACACAAATATTTACATATACTAATATGTAAATGTGTTATATGTTAAAAAGATATACGTTATATATTAAATATGTAAAATAGGGCATTCTTTTTAGAGTAGTTTTGTCTACAGTAAAAATTTATGGAGTAGATAGAGGAAGCCTGTTATTCCTCCTCCAACCCCACCTTATTGATATATCAGTGAACTCTACATGTGTCATATGGAAGCTTATTCCAGATACCGTATCAGCATGGTCAGACTGCTGCTTGGTTTGATGATAGCCATTTTTGAATGGACCCAGGACCTTTGGAGCTATGTGTTCTGTGGCTAATTTTTTATCAACAAGTCCTTGACCATGTTAGAGTTTAAATTGTTTAACAACACCTAGAAGGTTTACATTACCTTAGATATTGCCTGAATTACACTAGACATCAAATAATGCTCTTATGATAGCTATGCATTTAAATATTCTACTCTTCATTATTTTTCCGCATTTATTCCTGATTGCGTAAGCAGATAGGCACAAAGCACTTTTCACAAGTTGTGTAATTTGACTCTTGTTCTTCAGAATTGATTTGTTGTTGAATGACTTATACTCCAAGTGTTCTTAGAACATAAATTACTTCCTTACCATTTCCATTTTTTGGTTATCTTTTTAAATCATGATTTTTTGTTTCCATTATTATGAGCCTCTATTACAGGTTGAGTGTGCCTTATTTGAAACACTTCTTAGGACCAGAAGTGTTTTGGGTTTGGGATTGTTTTAGATTTTGTAATATTTGCAGAATAAATACCAGTTGAGCATCTCTAATCCAAAAATCTAAAATCTTATATGCTCTAATTAGCATTTCCTTTGAGCATCACATTGGTGCTCAATGAGTTTTGGATCTTGGAGCATTCAGGATTTTCAGATTAGGGATGTAGTACTTTAAAGTTACTTTAAAGTTAAAGTACCTGTAGTACTTTAACTATTTTGATACTATCCTTGTTTTTGGCACTTATTAAGATGATGAGGTTGAAAATATATGTGAAACACCTGAAAACCAAACAAGAGCACTGGCATTCCTTAGACTGAAGAGGATGGGACTTTGAGATGAAAGTGACTGCTTACGACCACTGATACCATTTTCTGATAGCAGGCATAGTTGACTTGTTTCAGTTTTGCTCTGGAGCATAGCATTACTTTTAGTCTATGAAAGCTTTTGGTTGAAAGTGTGTAAATATATGTGTCTGTGCATTGCTTATAGTTTTACCATAGTTCTCACATCCCACTTTGTTATTGTTGAACTTATTTTGCATTGCACAACTTACATCTACTACATCATGTGTTTGTACATCTTTTAATCATCACAGTACTGATGTGAGTAATTTGCAAATAATATATTTTTAGGAACATACTGAGTGAATATTGAACCATTTTAAATGGTTATGTTAGAAAAATTTAGATGTAGTTGTGTTTAATTTCAGTATACTTTCAAAATGCCTGGAAAATAATATATAACTTATAAAAACAAGTATGAAGGCCTTTAAATAATTTGCGGCAAATAATTTCAAATGCTTGGCTCAGTCAAAACTTTCTTCTGTCTTCATAAAATCTCTAATATAATGTTTAAGTATTTCCTGTAGTTAATCATTGTTGGCTGTTAGAACTTAAACAGATTTTGTCTTTCAGCTCCTGAATTCAGACCACAGATCCACAGCCACAGTCCAGATATGTAGCGGTTCTGTAAACCTTAAGGGTACTGTGAAATGCAGAGCTTATATCCACAGCAGTAAACCCAAAGTTAAAGATGCTGTGCAGGTACAAAAAGGAATAACTAGCGAATGAAAACATGTTAACTATTAACAAAAACCTAAAATTTTACCTTTTTTTAATCTTATATTTTATAATTATTCATTTGATTTTAACTGATAATGGCCTATTGTGCAGTCCAAATGTACCATATAACTGGTGTCAAGATTTTCATATGTAGAGGATCTATTTTGTGCCTTTTTAAAAATTATGGCTATACAAGTTTAGTAAGTGTTCCACAGTTGTACATATTAGTATCTAATTTGGAACACTGCAATTATTTTTTTAGATGTGAAACCTTTATTCATTTATTTGGTTTTAATTATTTAGATATGGTCTAGGCAAATTTGTCATTAAACTATACATTTGTTAATAAGTGTGCTAAATAAGTGGAAATAAAACATTGAATGATGTATCAGTTATTTAGTGGGCATGATTGTACTGGAAAGCAAATTATGTTTTTTTGTTAGTTAAATAATGTAAATCCAAAGTATTTTATTTCTTACTGTGTTTTTGTGTGTTTTTCCCTGTAGGCAGTAAAGAGGGATATATTGAACACAGTTGCTGATCGTTGTGAAATACTATTTGAGGATCTGCTTTTGAATGAAATTCCAGAAAAAAAAGTTATGAGTATAAAATTACTTTTTTGCCTAACTTCGACTGATGTAGTAGTAAGATATCAAGATATAGCAAATACATCATCTTTTATAGCTACCTATCTATGTTTTCAAACAGTGTATCATCTTTTATCATTGGATGAACATTTTTCAGTTGCTGCTCAGAAAAAAAATTTTTTTTTTGAGACAGAGTCTCACTGTGTTGCCCAGGCTGGAGTGCAGTGGTGCAGTCAGGGCTTATCTGAAGCCTCAGCCTCTTGGGCTCAAGCAGTCCTCCTACCTCAACCTCCCTAGTACGTGGGCCTGCAAGCACATGCCATGTTGCCTGGCTAATTTTTAGTATTTCTTTTTTAGAGACAGGGTTTTACCATGTTGCCCAGGTTGGTCTCAAACTCCTAAACTAAAGTGATCCACCGTCCTTGGCTTCCCAAAGTGCTGGGATTACAGGTGTGAGCCACCATGCTTGACTCTAGAAAAATGTTTTTGAACACTTTATCAAATTTAGCAAATTTGTCGACACTTAACAATTTCAGGGAGGATTTTTTAAAAAATTAATTCTAAGTGAACTTCTCCTGCCAGAATGAGTAAACCTTGTTGACATTTTAAAGTTAATATTTTTTGTTAATATCTATGAGTATTTTAAATAATTTAGCCATAATCAAAATATTATTTGTGTTAAATACTATATAATACGTCCTTTAATAGGTACTATTTACATAAACTACATTAGTTTATATGCTTCTCAGCGATTACTCTAACAGACTTCATTAGTATTAAAAAAAGCCTGAGTCATAGTATCTTACCCTTTAATAACGATTGCAACTTTTGGGAAACATAACAATTTATACCATCGCAGTAATTGGTATTAAAAATTTTTTTAATCAAAAGCAAATTAAAATATTGAGTACACTTTTTAAAGCTACATCATCATCTCCCCATTCTTATTATTCCAGTGTCACTGGATTTGAGATTCACATTTAGATATGTACATAATTGAAACATTCATATTAGCTTCGGGTCCAGCAATTCTCCTGCCTCGGCCTCCCGAGTAGCTGAGATTACAGGCGCCTGCCACCACAGCTGGCTAATTTTTGTATTTTTGGTAGAGATGGGGTTTCACCATGTTGGCCAGGCTGGTCTTGAACTCCTGACCTCAGGTGATCCACCCACCTTGGCCTCCCAAAGTGCTGCAATTACAGGCATGAGCCGCCACGCCTGGCCCACATTAGCTTTTGAAGGGAATATTTTTATGTTTGTATGAAAACACAGCTCCTCTCTTTAACCAACTTCTTTTAGTACTACTGATAGCTAGTATATTAAGTTTGATGGACTAATTATAATCTTTTTTTATATTCCTAGTATGCTAGATTCTACGGATGCCAGATTTAACATTTATCCTTCCCTTAATTCACAATTCTAAAGTTCCATTTACTAATAATTTGTAATTTTATTTGACTCTTACATGAAACAATTGGATAGAGAGTTTTGGAAGGGCAGTATGTGGGACCTGTTCACATGGTCCGTCAGTCTAGCAGCCCCATGTCAGTGTGGCTTTGTTTTTGCAATTTGACTTTGAGTTTGTGGTAACTCCTGTGGTGGAAATCATTGCTTCACTTTCTGAGCAACAGTGTATGTTATAGCTGCATAGCGAGTTTCAGATTTTCAGGGTATGGGGATGTATCCACCATTAATGTTAAAGATCTACCTCATCAGACACATTAGTATACTCTTTTCTATTTAAAAATCCTTTATAAAAGTGGTATTATATGGCTATCATGGTATTCTTTCATGTTCAGTTAGTATTTTGAAATTTTTGCTGATGTTCAATTAATAAAATTAATGGCCCCTAACAGCAGTTGTACTGTTCTTATGTTAAACTTGATGCATTTAGCAGTTAATGTTATAGCCTAATCCTAAATTTTTAAAAAGTGAAAAAGTTTTTACTGGTAATTGAGTGGCCTTGGGACCTGTGTGAAGAGCATAGACTGTAGTTTAGTGGAAAGAGTAAAGACTTTGAAGTTCTCAGGTTCTGTGTTTATTCTGCTCCTAGCAGAGTGACCTTAGGCAAACGACTTTATAGGCATTGAATTTTGCCTGCCTGCCTGCCCGCCCGTCCGCCCGCCCGTCTTCCTTCCTTCCTTCCTTCCTTCCTTCCTTCCTTCCTTCCTTCCTTCCTTCCTTCCTTCCCTCCTTCCCTCTTTCCTTCCCTCCTTCCCTCCCTCCTTCCCTTCCTCTCTCTTTCTCTTTCTCCTTCCTTCTTTGTTCCTCTCCTCTCTCCTCTCTCTCCCTCTTTCTATGATCACATAGGTTTTGACATTCTTTTGATGTGATGTATCACATTATTCGCTTTTATATGTTGGATCATCCTTGAATCTCTGGAGTAAATCCAACTTGATTATCATGTATTATCTTTTTGATGTACTGTTGCATTTGGTTTGCTAGTATTTTGATGAGGATTTTTGTGTCTGTGTTCATTGGGGATATTGTGTAGTTTTCTTTTTTGTGTCCTTGGTTTTGTTATTAAGGTTATGCTGATCTCATAGAATGAGTTAAGAGTTCTCTGTGCTTCCTTTTTTTGTAATAGTTTGAGAATAATTGGTATTATTTCTTTTTTAAAGGTTCGGTATAAATCATTGGTAAAACCATCCAGTCTTGGAGTTTTCTTTGTTTGGAAATTTTTCATTACTGATTCAATCATGTGATTTTTTTATTAGTCTGTTCAGGTTTTCTATTTCTTCTTGTTTTCTTTCTGTCTTTTTTTTCTTTCTGTCTTTCTTCTTCCTTTCTTTCTGCAAAGACTTTGAGGTTCTCGGGTTCTGTGTCTATTTTGCTGCTAGCGAGGTAACCTCAGACAAATGACTTTATAGGGATCCTCCCTCCCTCCGTTCCTTCCTTCCTTCCTTCCTTCCTTTCTTCCTTCCCTTTGCTTCCCTTCCCTCCCCTCCCCCCTCCTCTCCTCTCCTCTCTCCTCTCCTACCCTCTCTTCTCTTCTCCTCTCCCTCTCCTCTCCCTCTCTTCTCCCTCTCCTCCTACTGGTGGAGTGCATGTGTCCCAGAGGGCTCCCCTTATCCCTTTGGCTCTGCAAGGCATGCTGCCCCCTTTTCTCTTCCCCCCTCCTCTCCTCTCCTCTCTCCTCTCCTACCCTCTCTTCTCTTCTCAGCCCTTTCCCCTCTCCCTCTCTTCTCCCTCTCCCCCTACTGGTGGAGTGCATGTGTCCCAGAGGGCTCCCCTTATCCCTTTGGCTCTGCAAGGCATGCTGCCCCCTTTTCTCTGGAATATGAAAGTAATACACTGCTTCTGTTTTTCATGTGTTTTATTGTGTTGCCTCTTCTGAGTCTCACCTGGCCAATACACCCAAACCTAATTTATTTGTTAGGTCTTTCCTAGAGTGGCTATCTTGGTATCTTGGTAGTAATAAACTGGATGTACGTCAGAGAAGAACCACAAGAGTGACTGACAGTATAAACAAGTTTCCTGTGAGAGGGATATCTAGTAACAAATTCTCTCTTATTATGAATTACCTTTCACTCTTGTGTTTTTTGATGCACAGAAGTTTTAAAATTCCATGAAGTCCAATTTATACAGCGCTTTGCCCCTTTTTTTTTTTTTTGGAAAACAAATCACTGCCAAATCCATGAGGCTTTTCTCTTATTTTTTTTTCCTAAGAATTTTAGTTTTAGCTCTTATGTTTAGGTCTTTCATCCATTTTGAGGTAATTGTATTTGTATATGCAATAAGATTAGAAGTCTACTTGATCATTTTGCATGTGAATATTTATTTATCCAATACCATTCATTGAAAAGACCATCCTTTCCCTATTGAATGATCTTGGAACTCCTATGGAAAATCATTTGGCTATAGATGTGAGGGTATTTTATGGGCTCCTTTTCTATTAAATTGTTCTGTATGTCTATCTTTATGCCAGTACCACAATGTTTTGATAATTCTGGCTTATTAGTATGTTTTTAAAGCAATAAGTATGAGACTTTCAAAGTTCTTTTTTGTCAAGATTATTTTGGCTAATGAAGACCCTTCGAGATTCCCTATAAATTTTCAGATGGATTTTTTCTTTATCTGGAAAAAAAATTGAGATTTTGAGAGAGATTGCATTAAATTTATACATCATTTTGGATGAACTGACAACTTTACAATATTACGTCTTCTGGTCCATGAAAATGGAATATATTTTCATTCATTGGAGTCCTCTTTAATTCATTATAGTATTCTTTTTACTTTTTATTATATATCTTATACCTTTTTCGAAAATTTTGTCTTTAAATGTTTTTGATATCATTGCAATAAAATTGCTTTAATTTTCTTTTCCAGTTGTTGATTGCTAGTGTGTGAAAACCAAACTATTATTTTCATGTTGATTTCATATTCTATAACTTTACTAAGTTAATTTTATTAATTAACACTTCTATAAAGTCTTAAGATTATCTATATGTAAGATCTTGTCATCTCCAAACTGAAATTTTAACTTCTTTCTTTGTAATTTGGATGGCTTTTTTGTTTTCAGAGACCCAGGAAAACCGATGATGTAGATGAAGTTCAAAGGCAGTCTGCTGAATAAATTTTCTTTTGCTCAGGAAGCCCATCTTTTGGTTCTATTCAGGCCTGCCATTGATTGAATGAGGCCCACTCACATTTTGGAGAGCAATCTACTACTCAGGGTTCACTGATTTAAATGTTAATCTCATCCAAAAACGCTGTCCACATCGACATGAAATATTAACCGTCACAGCAGAGAGTACTGGAACCTACTACTATTTTAGTAGTGCTGTCTATTTCTCCTTTCAATCTGTCAGTATTTTAATTCATATATTTAGGAGCTCTGACGTTTGGTGCATGCATATTTATAATTGTTATATTTTCTTCATGAATTATTGCTTTTATAATTATATAATGCATTTTTCTCTCTTGTAAACTTTTTTTTTACTTAAATCTATTATGTGTAATATTTGTATAGTTATTGCACTGCTGTCTCAGTGCTATGAGATATTCAGC